ATAACCTCATCGAGCTCGGCACCAAAATGCCATCTCTTCTGCTTCACTGGTTGCATCATTGGGTCAATGTTCAGCCTATGCTCCGCTACCTCCGGCTTAATCCTTATGAGGTCATCCGTCGAAAAAGCGAACACATCTATGAATTCCCTTAACAGTGCTATCAGTGTGATCTGTGTGCTCTCTTCCATATGCCGACCTACCTTAGTTACTTCCCTCAATCAACTCAACTTCCATTACTATTAACTTATTCCCAGCTCTTGCCTCCTTCCTTGATGCGATGACTCATGGTGATCCTCCTGCTTTCTCTTCTTATTTTGTGCCTCCGTTATCTTTAACGTCACCTCGTAACATCGGCGGGATTGCAACTGGTCCCCCGTCATTTCAACCTAGGCCGTCCCAGAATGATGTTATACGCCGAGCTGGCGTCAACGACCAAAAACCTAATCATTTTCACCTTTCTCATGGGGCCCCTGCCCAACACCACAGTTAAGCTTACCTCACCATATGACACACCTCGCTACCACTGAAACCATATAAAGCAGTATGAACCGGTTCCATTTTCACCTCCAAGTCCATTTGTTGTATGCATTTCCAGAAGATGATGTTAGTCGAGCTTTCAGTGTCTATGAGTACCCTTTGTATGTCGCAACTAGCCACCTCTGCAGTGATAACTAGCGCATCATTATGCGGGACAACAAGCCCTTGCACATCCTCAGCCTCAGACCTCAAAGTGGCCGAACTCACATGCACCTGCACCTTGGCCACCTCATCGGCAGCTCCTTTTCTGCTCCTCCGTCCTCTTCTGTTTCTCGTCTGACTCGCGCCCGTCTGGACGCTCTTTGTGGCGCTCCTTGTCTTTAATGACAAATTCTTTGAAGTGTCCATCTCGGATAAATCGCTCAATCTCATCTTTTAGTTCGCGACAGAAGTTAGTGAAATGACCATAGTCGCGGTGGTATCGACAATATATGTCCTTTCCCGCTGAAAATCTTCGCGGTGGGGGGAGCGACTTAGGTTGTGCAAGTAGCTTAGCCTCTCCTTGTCTTTCTATAACCTCTAGGATCTCTTGTTGTGGTGCGTTCAGTGGCTTGTAATGCTCATACCTCGGGCCCTTGAATTAATCCTCAACCTCAGCCTCCTTTTTGGAAGCTCGTCGCTCACTTTAACGAGATTATTTGTCTATCTATTTTGCCTTCGTGTTATCGTTTTGTATGAAATCTGCTTCTGCCTCCTCCATGTTGACATGTTTGTTGCACCTTTCTAGAAGCTCATCGAACGTACTCGCCGGCAGCTTGGCCAACGAGTCTCTGCACTTTCTAGGCCTCAAACCACGCATAAGACCTCCAGCTTTTATTTCCTCTGAAGTGGAAGATAACTCCACACACTCCTTAGTGTATCGTGCCACATTCTGTCGCAAAGTCTCACCCTCCTTCTGTTGCATATTAATCAATGACAGATACGTATTCTCGTGCTTCCTAGAACTTGCGAATTGGTTCAAGATCAGAGAACTAAATTTCTCAAAGCTATTGTTTTGTAGTATTTAGTGGGTAGTTGGTAACCGAGCTACCCGACCTCGAGTCGTTCTCAAAGGAAGACGGTTCGGAGCTTCGTTTCCCACTCAATTGTCCAAATCACACAAAATGAGAAAATAAAAGCTAAACATGCCAATCAATTTGGATTGAGGATGGATTAACACTAATTGATGCTCGAAATTGAAAGAAACAATAAACGAGAGAATAAAGTAATTAACACTACCGGAGTCTCTAAGCCATCATCATCAAACGAATCAACAACGAGAAGTATGCAAATTCTAACACTAGATCACTAATCTCAACCTTCTAACCTAAGTGATTAAGCTCTAAATAGAGTCCTAACCCTTAATCTAGATAGGCAAGCAATTAGTCTCTACTAGAACAAACATGAGCAATGATCAAGTCCAAGCATATCCTCCATCATCAAACAAACACTCAAATTCACCTTGAAAAATTCCATAAGTAAAAACGAGGCAAAAATCGAAGTAATGAGCTTTGAAAGTAAATACCCAATCTTCTATTGCGTGCTAGATGAAAATCGGAGTCAAAAGCTCGGAATTTGAACAAAATAAAACTCGCCGGAAAATTCGCCGGAAAATGATGTCATAGAGCTCCCAAGAGAGAGAAGAGAGAAAACTAAAAAGAAAATAGCTATTCCCAAAGTGGGAAAGTGAAAAATGAAATCTAGATGTTCCAAATACAAAGGACCAAAATGTATTTATACTAAGTAGCAAAAACACACACTAACACACACATTAAAAAAAACACTCGCGAGCTACAGGCAACTCGCGAGTTGCATCACGAATTTCGCAACTAAAATTCGCTGGCAAAGATGTGTGGCGCATGGACTCGCGACTGAAAAAGGTTTCGAGGGCTCGAATGTTGGAACTCGCGGGCTGGACGTGCAAGGAGAGAACTCGCGGGCTAGAGCAATTTCGAGGGCTCGAAATCAGAAACTCGCAGGCAAGGCATGTTGTAGCTGGAACTCGCGACTGAAAAGGATTTCGAGGGCTCGAATCTTCAAATTGAAAATGGGCTATGGCTCGACTTTGAAAAGCTCTAATTAATTCCACGGGCCTCCGATCGACTCGAAACTTCGACTCACGCTCCTCAAATCTTTTCCTCCTCGACATGGAAGGCACACCAAATGAATTAACACTCAAGACGGCACATCACGAAATGACTACATCTTCCTTTCAACCTACAAAAACACCAAAACGCACAAAAGAGATAGGAAAATATACGAACACGACTAAAAACTAAAAAGTACTAAAAACGAATAAAAATGGACGGGGACACACAAATCAAACCTAAAACGACTCAACTCAAGCAAATAAAACACAAGAAAAACACACAAAAACATAACAAACAGCTATCTATGGAGTCAGACAGTAATTGATGGAACCAATCTTTTGCTGACCCTTTTAACGTTGTCAGAAAAGCTCGACAGCTCACGGCGTTGCTATACTTGTGCAGCACGGCTATATTGTCAAACAATCTCAAATGCCTAGCTGGGTCTGTCGACCCCTCGTAAGATAAACTTAGCTCTCTGAAGTTACTTGGAAAATCCTCTCCTAGGACCTCCTCCACGAAGGGATGCCCTCGTGAAACTATGAGCCTCCTACCTTGAACTCTGGCTGCAGTTCGCGCATTTAGGCTGCCAACCTCCCCAAGGTTAACTCATCCGGCTGTGTCGGCGCAGAAAGGTGAGAGGTTATTGACCTAGCCTAGTCATCCTCGCCCCTCTTCTGACGTTGGTGTTGCTGTTGAGGCAAGGACAGCTGCTGATAAAAAGGCTGCCAAAGTGACTCATTGGGAGCTCTCCTATCGACATCTTGAGCTCGGCCTATCTCCTCAGTGATAATCATTTCCAGCTCTGCCCCGGTCATTTGCAAAACTTGATCACCCCTCGACGCTGGAGGATGATTTTCTGGAGGGTTTGCTCCTTCTGCCACAACCACCTGCCTATCTTTAGGATGACTCGTCTGAGCCCCATTACCCTCAGATCCAAAAACAACCAGGTTAGCCCTCCCGTCGACCGGCGTGGCGAGCTCGCCTCCTTTGTATGTCTGGCCACCCGATCCTCCTTGGTTCGACGACTTCCCCTTAGTTCCTGACAATGGTGTCAAGGCGGTGCCTGGCGCCGACAACATTTTCTTCGGGGTGATAGCCAGTCGCGGCCATCCAGGCGGCGGCTCTGTTCCAAACACCCTTTCTATGGAAGAGCATTGGATGTGAGTTTATTTTTGTATGATTCGAGATTGTGGAAAACTCACTTTCAAATTGAATTTTGATTCTAAGGATCTCGGGGAAAAATGAGATTCGCATGCATTAGGATATGATAAATGAATGAAAAAATTTATCTTTTCAAAATGTTGTCGAGGTTGTTTGCTTGAGGACAAGTAAAAGGCTAAGTGTGGGGGAGTTGTTTTGTATATTTTTGTAGTTATTTTGTGTGTTTTTAAGTGTTTTATTTGTGCTTGTTTAGTTTATTTTAGGTTTTTTTCAGTCTATTTAGTCGTTTTTGCTCGTTTATGTGTTTTCGTGTTATTTTGGTTTCTTGTGCCTTTTATTTCTCTATTTATCTTTTATTTTGTAGGAATTTATGTTTCGTAAAGTCGTTAGAAAATCACCGGGAAACTTGCCTGAAAAGTCCCCAGAGAGTTTTCAGCCGATCGCCTCGGTTTGCTTTCAAGTACTTTCATTACTTAGTTGCAATTAGCTTAAAATCAAACTCAATCATCATGCTTAGTATGTTTAAAACTTCATTTTCCATTTTTGTGCTTTTGGACAACTAATTGGTAGACAAAGCTTCGAACCGTCTTCCTTGAGAGACGACCCGAGGTTCGAATAACTCGGTTATCAATTATTCTTGCTAAAACAAACTAAACAGTAGTCGTCCTGTATTTTTGTGCTTCGACCCACTTTGTGGAGCAGATATTTTCCTGGGCACCTGTCAGCCCAGGCTCATACTTTTTCTTTTGGCTGTTGTTTTTTCTTTTTCGAGTTTCTTGCTTATGGTTTATGGTTGGACTTGTGTAGACCTGTGATTTTTTGGCCCATTTAGAGTCTTGACTATATACAGGTCTGGGAACCGGTTACAAAATAGTTTAAAAATATTTTAGGTAACTTCACATCTTTCAATAATAATATAGAAAATTTTAGATACTTCTACATATGTAATATAATATTTAAGTGTTTTTAATGTTTTAAATTTATATGTTTTATGTTTATTTATATAATATAATTTTATATTCTTATTAATATATGGTAAATTATATCACATGTAATTCCACATCTTAAATTTATAATTATTGTTTAATATTATTAAACTATATCTTTAATTTATAATTATTAATTAATATTATTTAATTTATAATTATTATTTAATATTATTTACTCGTGTATGCCACGTGCTATCTATTGGTTTGGGCTCCAAAAGGAATAACAGATAAAAAGAGCCCATATCCGCAGCCAAAGGAAATGGAAAACACAGCAATACAATTTATCTCCTTACAAAAGGTGAAGAAAATGGCAGAAAATGAGTTAATATGGAAGAACACTACTCTTCTTGTAATTGATATGCAGGTATGTTCTTCATTATCGAATTTACATAAGTTTCTATTATTTGTTTGTTTCCGCTTATCTGATTTTTTTTTCTATTATTTATTTATTTATTTATATTTTTTGCAGAAAGATTTTATTTTGCCTGGTGGTCCGATGCATGTGAAAGGTGGTGAAGCTATTGTTCCCAATGTCATCAAAGCAGTCGAATTAGCTCGACTTCGTAAAATTCCTATTATTTGGGTACCCTTCTACTTTTGTCTTTTACTTGCCCTATGTTATTCGACTGTTGTTGTTTATGAAGGATTTGCTACAAATGTTTGGCTGTTATGGTTATTTTGTATGATTTTGGGATCACTCTGTACTGATACCAACCATATAATTGACAAATGAGATTGATTTTGTAAGGGCTTTTTTATGAATTTGTGAAATGGGACTTATTTTCTTGCTAATTTCAGTGGGTTGTTACTTTTAAATTTCTGCTTGGATAACCTAAGTTACCAATAAAAAAAAGTTTCAATTTTTTTGTATAATCTCATATAAGCCCTTGATATATGCTTCAATTTTTACATATTACATCCATTTGTGGACGTAAGAATGTCCACTACTTTTTGAAAATGTAGGGAATGTGTTGAGAAATGGGACTTTTTTGGCCTCTGAAGCTTTGAGATTGTGGAAATTTAGAAATTAGACAATAAGTAAGAGCGAGTGTTTGTAGGTTGTTCGTGAGCACGATCCTTTGGGGAGAGATGTTGAGTTATTTCGCCGCCATTTGTATTTACCAGACAAACCAAAACCAACTTCTAAGGGTAGTGTGGGTGCACAGTTGGTTGATGGCCTAGTGATCAAAGATGGTGATTACAAGCTCGTGAAGACGAGGTTTAGTGCGTTTTTCAACACTCACCTCCATTTGTATCTTCAGGGTCTTGGAATAACTAATCTGGTAGTCACCGGTAATGAATTCAAGTCTTCCACTTTTTTTTTTTTTTTTTTTTTTNTTGCTTTTTCTCCTACAAAGATGGGTAATTGCAATAATCATTCTGTGTTGATTGTGGGTATTTATTAGGAAAAAGTTATGATGCCTTTGAAATATACCAAAATCTCATCAAGGTTAGATTTCTTTTACATTTTGCCTCAGGCATTAGTTGATCTGATAGGGGATATTAGTACTTGTAACATTTACAAAATACAAGGGGTGCTAATGATGTATGCAGGTGAATAAATTGTGTTAGTTTCGCTATATTTAGAAAGGTTGAGGAATATAATTGTAAAATACGTTGAATGATATTAGCAATTTCTGTCAACTTCGCTAACAGTAGGTACAAAAAGTAAGGTATGACCTTGAGGGGTTGTTTAGTAGTTTTTAAAACTATTTTTTATTCTTGGTTTAAACTATTTTTAGGTGTACAAACTCCAAATTGCATTCGACAGACTGTTTATGATGCGGTTGCATTAGATTATCATACAGTTACTGTTATTGTTGATGCAACTGCTGCTGCCACACCCGAAATACATTTTGGTAAAGATCAATTATTCTCGTTATTTTACTGTTTATAAGATCATAGGTGTTATTCTTATTGCTCAATTGTTGAATATTTGAAGAAAGAAAGACCATGTTGAGGATTAGGTGTAATTTCATTTGAATTAAGGTTCCATCACAAAGAAAATGCATGAAAAAGAAGAAGTCTTCCACAATTTATAAGACATCTTGATTTGTTTTGTATTTATACAAATTGGACTCTCAAGGGGAATTTGTCAAAAACTGCAAACCTGATTTTGTCTAAATTTAAAAATATACATTGTAATTGATATGACGATTTCCCTATCAAAGATTGTGGTGTGGTTTCTTTTCATTATCTTGAAGTAGAAATTGAATAACTTTCTTTTTTATTTGCTTGAAACTCATAATTTTGAAATCAGGCTAGTAGATCACTGACATCCCTTTATTTCCTCTTAAGTTAAATGGGGAAAAAAATTTGAGATTTACTCTAAGTAGGGGAAAAAACGCTATATCTTTTCGAAATACAAATGACCACTATCACTCACATGCTTATAGCTAACAGAAGTGCACCCTCAAGTAAGGGTATTTGTAATGTACTTGAGAACATCAAGGGGAAAGTTCTGTAATTAGATTAAATTTCTGAGGTAGTTTTTTAATTATCTCTTTCCTCTTCCAGCAAACATTGCTGACATGAGAAACATTGGAGTTGCAACGCCGAGACTTGAAGAATGGTGTGCGCCTCACGAGTAATGTTACTGTCTTATGATTAGAGCAACAAATATCTTCATCATGTACTTCTATATATCCTTGATCAATATAAGTTGGACTTGGACAATAACATTTAACATAATATGATACCAAAATGTTGCAGTTGTGAAATCAATAGCTAATAACATAGTTACATACGTTATAATGAAAAGAAATGGTTACTTCTTATGAAATCAGTCTTTAATTGCTTGCACCATCATCAACATAGTTTATAAGTAATGTTTTGCAGGAAAATGTTGAAGATCTATGTTAGCAATCATTAATAAGGGGTGGATTCTAAGAGAGAGGATTGATTTATTCTTGTGTGTGTGTGTGTAGAGATTTGTATTTTAAACATAATATGTAGCAAAATAATTTGAATTTCATCGCAGGTTGGAAGGTATTATAAATTGCAAGGAATTGTAAGGTGGGACTCATTTAGAAATATTTTTGTCTTTTAAGAAATGTTGGAGTAATTTTCATAAAAATGAGATTTTGATGGGGGAGGCAAAGTTCAAAATAAATAAATGAATAATTTAACTTTAATTCACAACATTACAGCTCATCTCGAAGTAAATCAATGTATAAGTTCTATATTCATTGCTGATAAACATTTCTTCCCTTTTATAACTAATTTCCACATTAAATACAATCAAAAATTTTCAGGGTATCTACAATCATATACTTGTAAATTACCATGCATCGGGTCTAGTCTTGCCTATGTGGCATATAAATAAACTCAAGTTTTGGATGACATGGATAAAACTGTGTAAAATTAATAAAATTCACTTCAATGCAAAGAGACTAAGTCTCTACTTGGGTCTAAAATAGACTTAATGATAGACCTGGTTTATTTACATGCCACATAAGTATAACCTTCAGGTTTTCCTATAAGACTATATTTATCCACAATCCAACCCAACCCAACTTAACTCAATAATAAAAAATTATTTCTCTCTCCTTCACCTACACAACCTAACTTTTAACAACCTATCTCTTCTGACATTTGGATTGAGTTGGACGATGCCACTGTCATCACTCTCTTGACCACTGGCCATCAGGGCACATGGCAGATTCAGCATCCGCTCATGCGTATTAGGGCCACACTTCGGTCGATTTGCTTTCAGATCTCGCACATCTTCCGTGAGGGGAACCGTCCTGCTGACTTTTTCGCAGGCATCGGGTCCTCCACCCCCAGAGGTGCATACTTTATCCTGACGATATTCCTCTTCGCCTCCGTACCCTTATACGAATGGACCAGATGGGATATCCTTCATTCAGATTTGTGTAGCCGTTCCTACCTCTTGGTGCATCCGCTCTCCCGTGACGCTGACTTTTTTGCCTGGACTCTTTCCGGACCAGGAGATGTTATCTTTGTGTTATTGACAGTTGTTGCCAGCCTTTTTTTGTTTTCTTTTTCGTTTCCGGTTTTGCTTTTCGTTTGACTTGATGTATTTCAGACATTGAACTTGTAGATTTGTGACATTTCAGCCCATTTAGGGCCTTTTATATATACAGGTTGGGGGTCTTGCCTAACCCCCCCACCCTACTGGGTGTTTTCTTCAAACAAAAAAATAAAAAAAATAAAAAATAAAAAAAATAAAAAATAAAAATAACCAACATAATATTTATATTATTTTTTATTTATTTATTTATTAAATATTATCTTCAATAGATTTTTTGTTATTGTTATAGTTGTGATAAATTAATTAAAAAATTTATAATAAACCGTAATGATTTCAAAAAAATTAATATTTTAAAATACAACTGAAAAAAAAAATTACGAACATAATTAAAAATTGAAATTACATAATTCGGCACGAAATAAATTAAACAAGTTAGAAACACATCAAATGAAATTACAATGACTTTTCAAATAACATTGTTGTTAAATGACGTTTCATCTCTTCATCTTCCGGCGATAAGTGGTCTTTTGCCAACGACGTATTCAATATCTTCATATTCATTTTCTTAATCTGCCTTTCTTCTTTTGTTCGATATTTTGGTCATTAAATTATATTCGTTATTTCTTGTAAGTCTGGTGCACGAATTTCTGTAGTGAACTCATCAGGAATGGAAGAAGATTGTGATAATACATTTTTTCCTTTCTTTTTCGCTTTATCTCTACCTTCGGGACGGGGAATCGCAAAACCATCACTAACTGGAGTTTCTGGATTTGATGGAACTGAATAATCTCATCTTCAGTAGTCCTTAATCTTTTGGAACTGCCATGGCATTCTTCATTACTCACTTCATCTTCAGGACGTGAACGAGTTGAATTACGATATAATTTTAATTCTCATTTGGGATGCTTTCGCAGGACTTCTTCAAACACATGCAAGTCTGTAAACTTGCTACCACGAGCTTCATAAATTATATGAGCTTCTTTTTCAACATCTTTCATGCTCATTCCACTCCTTTTATCATGTATGCTTCCATGTATGCACATCTCCACTTGTTTACATTTTCATTAAAACGTTTATAATGACCTTCCATTGAATCCAAGTTTATTTCACAAATTTCTTCTAGATTCTCTAATCGAGATTGTTCAAACATACCTGCTATGTGTGTCAATAACGAAGAACCCTTCTGATTCTTGACACACATTTTGTCTTCGCTAACGAAACACCAAGCTGACATTAGAGTAAGATCTTCTGCCCCATTCCAACTAACATTTTTCGTTCCTTTTTTGAGATTTGTGGGTGTCAATATGTTTTGTGGACAATAGATTTCGGGATATGTTTTGTGGGGGTTGGACATTTACAGAAACTGGAAATTGGGTAAGATTCGGAGAAAATGACTCTTGTGAATAATTTTCAAAATTCTGCAAAATTTTCAGAGTTCGAAAAATTTTGAGAATTGAGGTAATACTCAAAATTTGGATTGATATGGTATTTGGTGGAAATTACGGAAAATAAAAGAGATGATAAAATTAATAAGGTATAATTAAGTGATATAGCCATAATATCATATACCGGCTTTAAAGCTCTCTACTCGACAGGGTAACCACCCAGATCGTCCACACGTCGACGTAATTCTCGTCAGCATACCCAAGTCGACTTCCACAAAGTCGACTCCTCAGCATAACAACTACGAAAGAAGGGCAAAGTCCATGTAAGTCGGCTCCTCGTGGTCGACATATGCCAGTCGGCACAAGTCGGCATATGCCAGTCGACACACCTAAATCGACTTTGATAATGTCGATCCTTTATAGAATGACCGTGAGGAAAGGCGGAATCCAGGCAAGTCGACTCCTAGAGGTCGACCTCATGAAGTCGGCTCTCAGAAGTCAACTTTTACTTAAGAAGACCAACAAGAGCGTAGCCTCCGAATATGCAGAAAATCCCAAGTCAACCTCCTGGTACTCGAGGTCGACTCCTTGTGTCTCGAGGCGCGAAATACACTGACGACTCGATATACTTGTGGTATCTCTTAAAAGTCTCTTATCCTCCAATGGATAAGAAGGAATCTGATCATGACTCAGCAGTAAGGGAAGACGAATTGGCCAGGATAATTTAGACCTTTCAGGCAAACCGATCAGGGCATTTTGGGTACTTCAAGTAAATGTTTCCTCCTATATAAAGGAGGTGAGGTAACCCTAAACCCTAACTCTCATTCATTCTCAACTCTCCCTCACAGCTACTACGCAGCCTCCCTTCATCTCTCTCATACACTGACTTGAGCGTCGGAGGCTCTACGCCGGAAACACCTCCGGCGTTGAGTTTTTGCAGGTATTCTCGCGGTCTAGCAACGGTTCGAAGGCGATTCAAACAGATCTGAGCTCCTTACCACCGGTTCACTCCAAATCTGAGAGTAGACCCATCATTAAGAAAATGGTGAAAAGAGAGAAATTTCAATTGTGTTTCAAAACATATCAAGAGTGGTGGTCTCTATTTATAGGGAATGAAAAAATACGAATTTTGATATTTTTATTTTTTTAATATAAAATAATATCAATATTTTGAGTTATCTTATCATATCATTTAAATTTGCAAGGGACCAATGGGAATGAGAGTAGTGCCCCATTCTCTCATCCTTTTACCCAAAAAGAAATAAATACATTTTGCCTACCTAACTATTCGAAAATTTACAATTTACCTACAAAACTTTTTTTTTACACTTTGTCTACCAAACTTTGATTTTTTATACACTTTGCCTTTTTGATCACCGTCGGCCACATGTGCCAATAAGGCACAAAAGTCACATGTTGGTTTATGAGGCCGGCGGTGACTGAAAATGGCAAATTGTACCAAAAATCAAAGTTATGTAGGCAAAGTGTAAAAAAATAAATAAATAAATAAATTGTAGATAAAGTGTAAATTTCCAGATAGTTAGATAGACAAAGTGTAATTTTTTCATCCAAACATTGCAAAAAATGAAAAATAAAAAGCATGTGACCGAGTTGCACCCAAGATATGCTGCCAATATCTTTTTTTTATTTTTTATTTTTATTTTATTTTTGTCTTTTAGTTGGTGACCCTCACCGATAAGGATAATATAAAGACAGAATGAGAAACTTCCCAATGGAACTGCAATAAAGAATGACCCTCCTCTGTCCCCAATAAAAATAAAGACGAGTTATTTCCAAATCACTCAAGGTAAAAAAGATTTGAAAATAGTGATCAAATTGGAAATGTAAAATCTAAACATCCCCTTTGGGATACCGATAAACTGAAACTGTGGTAAACAGAAGACTGTAGATATAATGAGCAATGCTCTTTACCACATTACCACAAAAGCTATTATCATGCTATACATAAATACAATATAAGAAAACAAAATGAGTAACAGAAAGAACAAAAAATCTTTCAGAAGAAATTTTGTTAGCACATGCACCATCTAAATGCCACAGCATATTACTGTATCGAGAAAATATGCTGAACTACAGTCCAGAGATTGATACTCCATCAAGCAGCACCAATAGACGAACTTAATATTTGAACCTGCAAAGCACATG